ATGAGGCGTGTGCGGGGTGTGCCGACATGTGCGGCGGGGACGCATACGAACGTCGCCACTGGAGCCTTACGTGGAGCTCCCAATGGGGCAACGAAGCGTGTGAGGGGTGTGCGGACATGTGAGGCGGGGAGCATGCGAAAGTCACCACTGGGACCTTAGGTGGAGCCCCCTATAGGGCCACGAAGCGTGTGAGAGTTGTGCCGAGTTGGGCGGCGGGGACGCACGTCGCCAATGAAGCCTCAGGTGGAACTCCCTGTAGGGCAACGAAACGTGTAAGGGGTGTGCCGACATGTGTGCAGAGGGGACGCATGGGACCGTCGCCACTGACGCCTTTGGTGGAGGTCCCTCTGGGGCAACGGGGTCACGAAACGTGTTGGCGTGTGCCAAAATGCGTGGCGGGGCCGCATGGGAACATCAGCGAGGAAGCCTTAGTGGAGCTCCCCGTGGAGCCACGAAGCGTGTGAGAGGTGTGCCGAAATGTGCGGCGAACGTCGCCACTGGCGCCTTCGGTGGAACTCCCTGTAGGGCCACGAAACGCGTGAGGGTGTGCAGTAGTGGTTGACATTCGGAGGGCAGGCATGGATGGGAGGAGGGAGGGGGGGGAGGAGGAGAGATGGAGGAGGAGGAGGGATGGAGGAGGAGGAGGAGGAGGAGGAAAAAGAAGACGCGGGGCAGAATCTCTTCAAAACGTGGACTGGATACCACACGATGGTTGGAACAAAGTTCAGCGTCTGGACTAAGGACTACTTGCGCCCGTCATCTCAGCGGACGAAGTACTCCTCAAGCTCCACCAAGCACTATGCATCGCGGACCCACCGATCTGCGCCGGCACTAGCCCACCCAGGGGTCAGCGCCGATCCGAAAAATCCCACCCTGATCCTCGTCGTCGCCGTCCGCCCAGAATTACATTACTGCGCACTGCCCCTGCCCCAGCTCAGCTTTATATTCCTCCCACATCACCCCGCCCCTCGCCTCTGGCAGTCCCTCTCCTCCTCCCCGTGCTCAGCCTTACACCCGCCTCGTGCTCGGCCTCGTCGCCGTTCCTCCCCGGAGCCAGAGAGGGAAGAAGGAGATGATGATGATGATGATGATGATGATGATGATGATGATGATGATGATGATGATGATGATGATGATGATGTTGCTAATGATGCTGATGCCGTCGATGGCGATGGTGATGGTGATCATGATGATGATGCCGATGATGAGGATGACGACAATAACGATGCTGTTGATGATGATGACGGTGATAGTGATGATGATGATGGTGATGACGGTGGTGATGATGATGACAATGCTGGTCATCATGATGATGTTCTTGGTGATAATGATGGTGGTGGTGACATGATGAAAGTGTTGTTGATGATGATGGTGGTGGTGATGAAGGTAGATGATTCAGATGATGATGAGGCTGGTGATACTCATCATGACTATGAGCATGCTCATGATGAGCATGCTAATGATGATGATGGTGATGATTACGATCACGATGCTGATAACGGTGGTGGTGATGGTGAGTATGAGCATGATGATGGCGACGATGGTGCTGATGGTGATGATGATGGTGGTGATGATGATGTTGGCGGTGATGATTGGGATGAACATGATTATGATGGTGGTGATGATGACGACCATGATTATAAAGACCATGCTGGTTGCGGTGACTATGATAATCATGATCATGAGCTTGATGGTCATGGTGATGATTGCGATGGTGATGATGGTGGTGATGCTGATCAGGATGATGATGACGGTGGAGGTGATGATGATGATGATCCTGATGATGATGTTGGTGAGGATGATGACGATGGTGGTCCTTGCGAAGCTGCTGACGGTGATGATGATGATTAGGAAGATGATGGTGCTGAGGAGGATGATGATGATGATGATGGCGGTGATGATGATGATGGTGGTGGGTGGTGATAATAAAAATAATTAGGATGGTGATGATGATGGTGATGATGGTGATGGTGATGATGGTGATGAGGATGATGAACATGATAATCTGGAGGAGGGTGAGAAGAGAAGGGGAGGAGAAGATGATGATGATGATGATGATGATGATGATGATGATGATGATGATGACGATACTGATGATGAGGGTGATCATGATGCTGATGCTGATGATGATGCTGATGATGATGATGATAATGACGATTATGATGATGGCAATGGTGATGGTGATGGTGATTGTCATGGCTATGGTAAATATGATGAGAATGCTGGTGATTATAAGTATGAACTTGGGGATGATTGTAATGAAGATGGGGATGATGGTGATGATGATGAGGATGAGGAGAAGGAGGAGGACGACGAGGAGAAACGAAATGGGGAAGATGAGGAGAAGGAGGACCGGTTTAAACCCAAGACGCATCTACGATGCTGCAACCAACCCTCCCTCCAAGTTCCCTCTTCACAGGTCCCTGCACGAGTTTGTTGTTTTGCGAGAAGTGTTCCATGTGACGATAGCCGTCTGCGAATCCTCAATCGCACAGAAAACACTATTCCTGGGACTTCCACACCGCAGATTCACGTGATTGTTGCGTCCTGACGATCGCAAATCGCGCCAGAACATCATTCCTGGAACATCAACACCGCGAACCAACGTGACTGCTACGTCCTGGCAGTCTTCTGTCCTGTCAGAAAGTCATTCCTAGGACTTCGACAATACGAGCCCGTGATACCGTTGCAAGCTTTTATAACGAGTGTACGCGGCGCCAAGGCGAGAACCACGTTTTGACAACGAGCCGCCCCTCATCCTTAATCATAAACGGTGAGATCGTCTCAGGCGAAACGCGCGGCTCGCCCCATCGATGCGTCTGGGGGTGAGACAATATAGTGTTATCACTGGTTTTACGTCGCAGCGCGGCAAAGGCCATGCGCTCGCGCGCTCTAGTGTCCGGCGACGCGTCGCGCACGAACTATCCGGCAACAAGAGAGGGAGGGAGGAAGAAAACGGCCGCAGAAAGCAGGCGGGGGAGAAGGTAGAGGCAGCTACAGGGAAGAGGGATTGCTGAGGATGACGAGGATGAGGATGAGAAGGACAAAGAGGTGAGGGCCAATCTGGGAGGAACACTATGATGAGAGGAAAAGGAGGAGGAGGAGAAGAGCCCGCGATGAGGCGGACAGAAGTTCCGCTTCACGCCGACGCCCTCTGCCGCTGCGGAACGGGGAGGAGGAGGAGGCGGATGAGGAAAGGGAGGGCGCGGGGGAGGAGAGGGGGAGGAGAGGGGTAGGTGAAAGATGAGGAGGAGAAGAAGGGGGGAGAGGAGGAAGAGGACGAGGAGAAGGAGGAGGACGAGGGCGAGGAGGAGAAGGGGGGAAGGGGAGGAAGAGGGAGAGGAGCAGGTTGAGGAGGAGGCTCCACCTCCTCCTCCTCCTCCTCCTCCTCCTCCTCTTCATCCTCCTCCTCCTCCTCACTCTCCCTCCTTCTCCCGCTTCTGCCTCCCCTCCCCTCTGAGAACTTATGCCCGTGCAGCCCCCAGGGCCCCTCCAAGGACAACCTAAGACCTCCCGTCCTCCTGCTCCGTCTCCTGTGCCCCCATTCAACTGCCCCCTTCATTTCCTCCGCCCCCCTTGGCCGCACACCCCTCGAAGGGGCTCACTTAAATCACCTCAACCCCAAGATCAGTCGAACACTCTCAGCATCCCCCCGCCTCCTCCTCCTTCTCCTTCTCCTCCTTCTCCTCCTCCTCCTTCTCCTCCTCCTCCTCCTCCTGCTCCTCCCCCATCCTCCTCCTCCTTCAGCATTCCTCCTCCTCCTCCTCATCCTCCTCAGCCTTCCGCATTCCTCCTCCTCCACATCATCATCATCATCATCATCATCATCATCATCATCATCATCATCATCATCATCATCATCATCATCATCATCATCATCATCATCATCATCTTTTCGCCCATCTCGGGGAAACCCTGGACCCCTTCCGAACCCAACACCCTGCCGTAGGCACTGAGTGACATGTCCTCAGGTCCTTTCGAGGCACCGACCCCGGAGTTCTGGGCGCTCGTGGGCGTTCTCGGGGTGGCCTGCGTGACTTCTTCGGAGGCCTCGGGAGTGCAATTAGGACTCCATACTTCCCACATGGCCTGCGATGGTCTCAGGGCCTGACCGACCTGGAGCCCTTTTGGGCCCATGTATTACCGTTGTGGGAAGCCCTGGGGGCCAATCAGACAGGCCAACCTCACTGACACAACATGACTAATTGTATGGTTTTGGCATACCCGTTTTTTCGGTCAGCCTTTAGAGCACCCATTACGGCCCTGGGGTTCCCCAATATCAAGAGATGGCCCCCAAAGCCTCCAAGAGGTCCCCAACACGATCCCGAGAGGGGCCCACGAAGGGGAACTCGAGCTGTCATTTCGAGTCCTCCGATGGCCCCCGAGACCGCCAAGAGGCCCCCAAGAGGCCCCCAGAGAAACCCAAGAATTCATCACCATCAAAACGCTTCCAGGGAGGCCCCCAAGAGGGCGCCAAAGAAACCCCCAAGAGGCCTCTATAAACAAGCCCCATGTCCACGAACCGGGCACAGTGGCGGGATGAGGCATTGGCTGAGTGCCGCCAGATCCCTTCGAAAACTGTCAAAGGCCTGCTCCTCCTCCTCCTCCTCCCCCTGACTCCTCCGTAGAGCCTAGAACTGATGACGCTGATGACGTTCGGACGCCGCCTGCCTGATTGGGGAAACCAGGAGGCACCGATACCGCTGCTCCCGAATTCCGAAGCGAACTCAGCGGTGGCGACGAGGGCCTCCCAGAAGGCCCCGTCCTGACCCAGAGCCTCGAGGCGGACCTGACCGTGGCGACGAGGGCGCCTCCCCCCCCCAGGAGCCCTGGGAGTTGCCGCCCCCCAAATCGCTCGAGAACCACGACCACGACCACGACGACGACGACGACGACGACGACGACGACGACGACGACGACGACGACGACGACGACGACGAGGACGAGGACGACGACACCGGCAGCGGCGGCGGTGGCGACGGTGACGACGGCCCGCCCGCCTGGAACAGGTCGTGCGGCAGCCCGCGAATCGCCCAGACGACGTGCGCCACCTTCTCGGCGAGGGGGCGGGGAAGGGGAAGGAGGAGGAGGGCACATTGTTCGGAGGAGGGCCAGTCGAGACAACGGCGGCCCTCCTTAGCGTGTCTCGTCCTTCCTGGGCCTCCAGGAGGCCTCTCGCCACGGCGGGATCCGCCTCGAAACTCGGGCCAGGAGGGGCGGGCTCGGAGCGGATTTGGGCCAGGCGGCAGGGCGCGCCGTGGTCTCTGCTGGCCCTCCTGCGCCCGAGGCGTTCGTCCCGCAGGACATCGCGGATGGGCGACACGAGGCGGAGCAGCCATTGGCGGCGCGCGCAAGAGGGCAGGGGAAGGGGAGAAGGCTTATGAGAAGGGGGTCGCTTCTTAGAGGACGCGGGGCCGTACATCTACAGAGAAGGCCCAGCCTTCTACGAAGCATCCTCCTTCTAAGAAGCGTTCCCCCATTCCCTCTGCGCGTGGATGAAGCCAGCCTTAGGTCGGGCATGTCCTCCTACAGGGAGGTTCTGGACGAGAAATCAAAAATATTCCAAACATGCTCCAAAATTGAGACAAATAGTAGAAAACATCGTCTCTGTATCATTTCTGATTATTTTTGAATTTTCCCCCTGCAGAGGGACAGGCCCGACTTAAAGCCAGCCAGCTGGATCACTCGATCAGAAGACGCCACCGTGCCGCGGGCACCGAGAGGAGCGTCCTGACGTCCCTCCGCAGGATGGGATGAAACTCGACCCTCGAAGCCCCCAAGGATCGAGGATGCAACTCGACCCTCGAACTCCTCGACCCTCGAACTCCTCGACCCTCGAACCCTGCGAGGAACGAGAGGATCAAGGATCGTGGGTCGAGGATCAAGACTAAGCATTGTCTTAGGGTGGAGGGCTCAGGGTGAAATCCATATGGGCTCCTGCACCTCGACAATCGATCCGTCTTGTGATGCACCTTTTGCAGGTTCAAGCCTCGAAAACCCATCCAAATGGCATTTCAGATTTCACCCTTTGCTCTCCACCCAAAGAAAGTGCGCGGCACGAGGAGCCGCGCGGAGAAGCGCTGTCGGCGCCTCGCAGGCGTTCGGCTGGCGAGGCACAGCAACCTCTGGCACGGCACACACATCCATATCCGTGCCCCCGATGTCTGGATACCGAGGCGCGATCCTGTGGAGACGCGGTCGCGGGTAAGACGAAGCCAGGACGAGGATAACATCGGGTGAGGATGTATCGAGAACCTCTGAGATTCAGCGGCTCTAGAGGATGTATCGGACGCCGCGGCCTTCTCAGATCGTATGCGTCTCACGGGCATTTACGATCGGTGAGGCTTAGGTCGGGCCTGTCCCCCTAGATGTGGATTTTGGGCGAAACATTAAAAACACTCAAATCGAATTCCCAAATTCGCAAACAACAAAAAAAACTGTCCCCTGCCTATTTTTGACTATTTCTGAACGGTCCTCCTGTAGAAGGAAAGCCCGACTTAAGGCGAGGCCTGCCTTCCAGCGGAACCTTTCGGTACTCGACTGTTCACTATCCAGTGTATGCAGTTTCCCTCCTGGTGTTCGCAGAGGCTTCAGTGGTCACCCAGCAGCCACGAGGTCGCCGGTTGAGGGGGAACGATAGGGGGGGGCTGGCATAGGGGGGGGGATGCCTCGACCTGGAATCGGCGATACATCGCCGATAGATCGGCGATAGGCCTCCGACAGTGAATCCGCACCTTCGTGGGCAGGCTGGGGCTATCGGGCACCTATCGGCGATCAATGGGCGATAGGAGGTCGATGCATCCCTCCCTATGTCTATCCCTCCCTAGCGTTGCCCCTGACCCGTGCGTTGCCTGCTCGCTGTTTTCTTCCGGCGTCCTTGCAGCTCGAGCGAACATCGGGTGGGCAATCATGTCCGCTACCGTTGCCGTGGAGGAGGAGGAGGAGGGGGAGGAGGAGGAGGAGGAGGAGGAGGAGGAGGAGGAGGAGGAGGAGGAGGAGGGGGAGAAGGAGGAGGAGGAGGAGGAGGAGGGAGGAGGAGGGGGAAAACGTAGGCATTAATCTCTGGAGATCCGCGGGCACTTCTGCAATCGGAGATCGGCTCCCTGCTCCGGTGCCGCCAGGGGGGCAGGAGGCCCAGCGCCGACCCGGGAAGTCCGCGAGGACCTCTCCTAAAGCTTGAATCATAACTCGCATCTCCGTGCTCCTTAAACGAGGGGAGGAGGGGAAGGAGGAGGGGAAGGAGGAGGGGAAGATGCTCCACTCGCCCTCCCCAGCGAATCCCTACATCGTGCAGCAGTGTGAAGGAGGAGGAGGAGGAGGAGGAGGAGGAGGAGGAGGAGGAGGAGGAGGAGGAGGAGGCCGCCCCCAGGAGGGCATCTCGGCGTGTGGGCGGCGCGTCGGGGCTCTTTGGGTGAACTGAATTCCACCAAGACGTCGCCTGTGCGGGGGCGGCGCGGCGGGCCATGGGCGTCGGTGCCCTGACGGGCCTGGGGCGGTACCCCTGTACTCTAGCGGTGGTCCCGCTGTGGTATGGGTCTGCCGTTTCAGGTCCCTCGGGGACCTGGCGTTCTGGGGTCGCGAGGGTAACCCCCTGCGTGCCTGTGTGGGGGCAAGCCCTAGCCACTGTACTGTACTGGCCCTCCCGTGACGTCGCCCGGCAAGGCTGGGGGGGTCGGCCATGTGGGCACGGCTCAAGACGTGTACCCCGCCTGGCCCCCCTTGGGCAAGGAGGCGAGCGGGGGCGTGCCAGGTTACCCGTGCGCGGAGACACGCGCTGTGTGCCCCGCACAGTGCCGTTGGGGGCCGCTCACCTTCGGTGGGCTGGTGCTCTCTAAGAAATACAATTGAGGCCGGCGTCCCCCTCCTTTTCCCTCCTCTTCCTTCCCTTCTCCCTTCGGCGGTAGCCCGGCTCCCATGAGTCGTGGGGGGGCGGTGGGCGTTTGGCCCCCCTTCCGCACGTTGCGCCAAGTCTCAGCCGAAGAGGAGGACAAGGAGGAGAAGGAGGTCTCCCTCCACTTAAGGAAGGGAGGAAAGGAGGAGGAGGAGGAGGAGAAGGAGGGGAAGGAAGAGGCAGAGGAGAATGAGGAGGAGGCAGAGGAGGAGGAGGAGGAGGAGGAGGAGGAGGAGGAGGAGGAGGAGGAGGAGGAGAGTAGGAGTGAAAGGAGAGGAGGAGGAGGAGGAGGAGGAGGAAGAGGAGAAGGAGGAGGAGGAGGAGAAGGAGGAGGAGTAGGAGGAGGGGGTCCCCCTCCTCCTCCTCATGGGGGGGAGAAAGGAGGAGGAGGAGGAGGAGGAGGAGGAGGAAGAGGAGGAGGAGGAGGAGGAGGAGGAGGAGGAGGAGGAAGAGGAGTAAGAGGAGGAGGAGGAGGAGTAAGAGGAGGAGGAGGAGGAGGAGGAGGAGGAGGAGGAGGAGGAGCAGGGGGACGAGGAGGAGCAGGGAGGATAATGAAGACGACGATGAAATACGAATGCTCGGCACCTGCCCCCAGGTTGCAAGTGTTTCTTCGGCTGAACTCGCACGTGGTCTGCTCCTTTTTGTGGGAACCCCCCAAAGGTCCCAACACCGCTAATTACGCCCCACGTGCCCTTGAATGCGCGGTGCTCGGGTAGCTCACTAGGTCTGGGCGAGTAGGCGTTTTTTCCTTCTCCTCGTCCTCCCCTCCTCCTCCCCTCCGCCTTTCCCTCCTCTTTCCCTTACCAGGCGAGGGCCACGCCCCAGACCTTTCCCGGGGTGCGCTCTGACTAAAACTTCGAGGCGAACCCAGCGGTGGCGACGAGGGCCTCCCAGGAGGCCCAGGAGCCGAGTGTAGCTGTATGGGTACATTTTCCTCCTCCGATGTGTTGCTTCAAACGTCCTCTCGCCTCGAGCGGGGCAATAAAAACTCCGCCGGTGTCCCCCGTCGAGGCGAGCAGAAGGGCGGCCGCCAACCCCGCGGCAGCGACTTGCTGCACGCAAGAGTGGCCCTGGGCAAGGGTGACCTTTGGTGCGCGGCTTTAGGGGGGCCGCGGGGGGGGAGGGGGCCAAACCCAAGCGCGCAAGGCGCTGCTATCGCATCGCGTTCGGCGCTCGGGGGGTCCCACTGCTCCCGCACCAAAAGTCACTCTGGCGAATGGTCACTCTTACGTACGTGTAGTCGATGCTCGATACTGGTGAACTTACACCGCGTGCCTGCCGGCCTGGGCGCCAGAGTAGCGCCTCAGAGAACAAGAGGCTGGCAGCAGGCGGCGCAACTCAATCGCCGATCACCCTAGATGCAGATTGGTCGAGCTGGTTATCCTCCTCCTCCTCCTCCTGCTGCTCCACCAATCCCCCTCCGCCTCCGCCTCCGCCTCCTCCTCCCCCTCCCTCTCCTCCTCCTCCTCCTCCTCCTCCTCCTCAGAGAAAGAAGAAGTATCCATACCGCTACCCTTCGCCCGGCTTCTTCATTTTTTGGGGCCTCCTGGGAGGCCTCGTCGCCACCGCTGGATTCGCCTCGAAATCCAAGTCAGAACACACCTGGGGAGAGGTCCGGGGAGTCGCGGTATTGGTACCTTCTAGTTTTCCAAATTCCTTCCCTCCCCCCAGGCCCCAGAGGGAGAGTAGGTGGGGAGCCCACGAAGGACGTACGCGCCCGACCAAATACATGAACACGGCCCCCCCATTCGTGAGACCAGCCCCGCGAAACGCACGCTCGTGCAATGCGACCTCTCGGAACCGACGCGGGTTCGTGGACGTGTGCGTCCTTCATCCGCTCCTGAGATGGGGCGAGCTTGATATCCTCTCCTCCTCTCCTCTTCCAGTCCCTCCCTCTCCCCTACAGGGAGAGCCGGCACATGAAGCAGAGGTCCGCGCGGACTTTTCGGATCGGCGATGGGCCCCCCTTGGCTTAGGTCGGGCATGTTCTCCTACAGGCGGATGCTGTAAGAATAGCGAGAAAGAGTCAAGACATTTTCAACATAGTTATATAACAGAAACAATCGAATCATCGTCCCCAGACGAATGTTGGACTACTTTTGACTATTTCTCCTGTGGAGGGGCGTGCCTGACCTTCCCCCTGGCAGCGCCTCCGGCACC